TCTGTCAGGTAAAGGGGGAGTTGGTAAAAGCACTTTCACGGCACAACTCGGATTCGCTTTTGCCAGCGAGGAAAATATCCAGGTATATTAATTGTCAATGGCTTCACATCCAGGGGATCCATCATCGCAAATTAATTTATAACGAATCTTTTTTTTTTTTCTAAGATCGGAGTGATGGATATCGATGTGTGTGGGCCGTCAATTCCAAAGATCATGGGGTTGGAGGGTGAACAGATCCATCAAAGTTTATCAGGATGGTCACCGGTCTATGTTCAAGATAATTTGGGTGTAATGTCAATTGGATTCATGCTGTCCAATCCCGATGATGCCATTATCTGGCGAGGGCCGAAAAAAAATGGTAAAATCACACATTCATATGTACCATAAGATTGTGACACCGTTAATTTGTCATCTTCCCGAGAAATGCCCCGTCGCTCACATAATTTCCGTCAATACATGAACATTAGGATTGATCAAACAATTCCTTAAAGACGTGGATTGGGGAGAATTAGATTTTATGTTGATTGATACACCACCTGGAACATCAGATGAACATTTATCAATCACACAATATCTCAAAGAAAGTGGAATTGATGGAGCGATCATGATCACAACACCACAGGAAATGTCATTACAAGATGTTAGGAAAGAGATTGACTTCTGCCGAAAGGTCAAGATTCCAATTCTAGGAGTTGTTGAAAATATGAGCGGATTTATCTGTCCCAATTGCAAGGTGTGTTTAAATTTTACTTCGCATCACGCACCATTCTATGTAAATGACATGACATGCAAACTGTAATATAAATTAGGGGGAGTCCAAAATATTTGATCCGACGACCGGTGGGGCAAGAAAAATGGCCCAGGAATCTGGGATCAAATATTTGGGATCAATTCCCTTGGATCCTAGGATCGGTAAGACCTTTTTAAAGATTGCGCATGTTCAATGTGAATACGTGTTATTCCTCACCTCACCGCATATCTATTATTTCCATAGGAAAAGCGTGTGATGCTGGTTTATCATTTTTGGATGAATATCCGGATTCACCAGCTTGCAAAGCATACCTGAATATTATTACAGGTAAATGTCATTTTCGGTAAAAACTTAAACGAATATATTTGCTGATTTGTCTATCTTCATTATTATTCTGGCTTCGCAGAAATCAAACAGAAACTCGTGATTTAAAATTGGCTAGTTTGACGCGTAATGACAGCACCACCACTATTTTAATGTATATTGTCTGCACCAATTCTACTTGTAAATTCTATAATCTTCATGTTATATCACGGTTTATTTATACATACAGTAAGTATATGATTTAGAAATTATATGTATACATATTTTGTATTTTTTTTTTTTTTTTTTTTTTTGTTCTATTCGCGAAAGATTTTGGTTGTTCATAAATAGCACTCTTAGACTGAGCATTTTTATAATATATCACGTAACAAAAACCACGTTTTGTAATCACGTGTCATAAGCCACCGAATAATTTTCGTTTCCTCGGAAACGACAAAAAGACGAGACGCACATTGTCTATATAATTTTGGACCAAACAAATCGAAAGCATTATCGCGTAATGAGGGTGAAGATGTTAATCATGCCTTGTTTATTTATCGTGATTAAAACAAACGTGCATTAAAGAGGAAAGAGTGAAAAATCTCTAATGATTGATGAAATTCTATGTTATTACTGGAGAGCAACTAATATTGTTTGGGTATTCTATTCTTTTTTTAAAAAAAAAAAAAAAATTATCACGAAAAAAAAAAAAAAAAAAAAAAAAAGAGATGTTCACATTCAATTTTATACATAGAATAGGAAAAGATTAATAGTATTGTATATATATATATATACAAAGATTGATTTAGGAATTGAATTAGTTGTCTAATAGAATTTGGTGGAATTTACCAAACTTCTACTCTCATTTTGTCCACCCCTTTTCGGTCTTTACTCTTCGTGCTACCATTCTTATACTTCATGGATTTCTTCAACATCTTGTATTTCTTGAATTCGGGATCTCTGTTGGTGTCACCCTTCACCAAATCCGCATGTAGCTCCATGATGACTGGATTGGACAGCTGGTTAAGCAGTCGTTGGGAAGATAATTTGTGCACGTGATTATTGTGCCTTCGCGCTAATGATTTGTTGATTTCCACGGGATCCGGATCGGATGGTGGTGGCGGAGTGGATATACAATTTAGAGATGGGTGTTTACTGTAGCTGCCGTCATCGCAGTCTATTTTGCGATCACCTTTCAGTATGCCGGGCAAACTTGTATTATCGTTAGTTGGCTTTGCCGGCGCGCCCAAGAGTATACCTTTTCGAACATTCTCTTTTCCCTTTTCTTCTTGTTTCTTTTCAACTGCGTTGTCGCCGTCGGCATCAATTTTGATCGCCGACTTCCTGCGGCGTGAACCCCATTTTGTGGCTGCCGCATAAGTGGGATATTTGTGAGCCTGTATTAATTGATACTCTAAATCTTCGGTATCATCATCATCATCATCATTGTCCGGGTTCAAGTGACGAACGGTGTGCACGGTGATTCTTTGCGTCATATCCATATCCATATCTTCTTCGACATCCCAAGCACTGATTTCTTCCCAGTTTTCGTTGGCCATTGTTGCTTTTCCTTGAAGACTACGTGGAGTGATTTTTGGTATTGTTGTTTGAGGAGGAAAAAAAAAATTTATATGCATATAGATTATTACGGAGATTCTATTGAGACTGCTGGTTTAAGGGTGAGATAAGTGATAGTGCGTATGGTGTGGCTTCCGTTGTGGGAGAGGAATTTTTTATTGTGAAGAAGGTTGAATTCTGCGTCTTTATATACCTCGTTTAATAACATAATAGTGTAATATTTACATTACATTATGTATCAACACTGATAACATATATAGATGCAACTCATCCTCACTAATTAATGAATTATAATAATCGCATATAATAACTAATACGTCAGGGATTTATATTAGATAGAATAAAGTATGCACGCACGCACGCACGCACGCACATCAATAGACACAATTGTTCGCATGACCAAAACTAAAACTACAAGTTCATGCGGTATCATTGAGATTAATACTGTTAGTCGTACATTCCAGTCATACTGTAATTCCTGCAATGCTTAGGTTGGATGTTATTTGATTTGTTAGAGGTGCTATCACACAAAGACAACTCCGCAGTGAATGAGGGTTCGCTTATTGCACACGTTCTTATCTCATTATAGAGATAAAGAAATACGGTTATAAGAATTTTCTCCGGAGGTTATGAGTCACATCCAAACTACGCTCTGTCAGACGTCATCCCATTTACAAGTTCTGCAGATTTTCCTAAGCCTTCATACTCCCCCCTTTTTTTTTAACTATTATAAATGAAGATACTGTACATGAAAGTTAATCCCAAAGTGTGTTTTGATTTCAAACGATACCATCTGTTCGTGCTCCGGGGAATACACCGTATAGGTAATTTACCAATTCCCGGTTAATAATTCCGGTGTTAGTGTCAATCCTTTACAGCATTGTATATTTACGCAACCCTAGTGTGGGAAAATTGTGTCACGGGGTTACAACCGAATGGGCGCAAGTTGGGGGTGATGTCATTTTTCCAGGAAATTCCCCGTTTCTGTCTATTATGGAAGGTGAGAGGTAAGTTTTTTCTTTGACGAGTAATTCCCTAGAAAATGATAAGACTTCCATACACAAACTATTTTCAAGTGGCAAACAATCCAAGGAGGCGCGTTTAAAGTCAACTCGTCCCAAGGATGTCACCGCTTACGACTTTTTAAAAATAGAAAATATAAAGTCTTTTTAGATTAATGAAAATTAAGCTTATTTTTAGGTTCAACTGATGTTGTACAATTTATTTTTAATTTATCCAATCGTTTTTTTTTTTCTTGGAGTTACAGTATATTCCGCTGCGGGTGATTCTTATCTTAAATGTTACATTTCTCGTATTATTATTGCATACGCACGCATAAATTTTCGTTTCGGAGAATGTATCATTCATTATACATTGCTGCGCGCAAGTGTGACGAATTTATTACTCTACTCTACGCATGCGCAGTATCAATGACTTCACTGGTTAATGAATGGCGTGCGCCTCACTCTGCGACTACTTCAATCGTACGCAGCATACCACCACGCAGCGATGTCACGTCGAATCTTTTGTTGGTCACGTGAACATAACGCATTTTTTTGCCAAAATTTTCGCGTCATTCCTCAGGGATTTCTTTTTTCCAACTGTCGTCATGGGTTCACGCCATACATGCTTTCTAATCCCTTTATTTGGTCTAGACCACTTTCGACGATTTGCTGTCGGTCTTACCACAGGGAAAACGATTATGTGACGATAGAAAAATATGCACGCAGGATACCTGCCCCTTTAATTAATTAAATTATTACGCGTGACAATATCATCAAGACTGTTGTTACCCAATAAACTTTAATCATGCTCTATCGCTATGCTTATTTTTCTTTCCTGTTTTTGTTTAATTTGGGGAGGCACTACATACAGCATGCCAAATAAGGTCACGGGTGTGATACGAAGTGATGGCTGTGTTATAAAACACCATGATAACTCAGATAGTACGACCCTCTGTTAATTTCTCGACTTCCGCGATAAAGCACCAATATTCTCGTACAATCCTCGCGAAAGTTAGTTTTATCCATTTAGATTGGCGTTTCCACTTTCCGAAAACGTATCCTTACCGGAGAATTCGATTTATCGACGACATTGCTTGAAAGACCTTCTGCATTATCTAATGTTCGCGTGCAAAAAAAGGTTTCTCAGATTAGGGCGAAACTCGTGTAAATCACAGCGTCAGCTGCTCAAACATGGCAATAGTAAGAGGGAAAACGTGAGTTTATCATTCATCTCAATTAGACGATATCTCGGTGCAAACTCAAATCGGGAAATGAGGCTTGCCGTCTCAGCAAATCCTTTGTGTCATTGTGTCTTTTGGGTGCGATAGTACCGTGCCCACAAATTCTAGAGAAGAGTTGTCGCGTTCCCTCGTTAGAAAGAAAAAAATTTTAAATCGCAGCGTCCCCGTACTTACAATTTTTAATTTTCACGCCAGGTCTATGTGACTCACCATCTGACATACCGAGAAATTCCGATGATAGTCACATTTGCCAATGTTAATTAGCGTAATCCGCATGACGCAACATAGTAATAATATTATTATTATATTTAGACAATTCGACAAAAAGATCCTTCGAAGGTTTGTTTGAGCGCGAGACAACTGTGATACCGCCAATTTTTCCATTTTTTGTCAGAGCCTCATTCTATGACTCATCACTAACACACATGTATTATTTGAAGTTCTTTGTTAACGATAATAATACCGGATTTAGGTAATCGAAAACGGGAATCATCAACTCACACGGTACATTTTCTCCCCTAATTTATAAGGGATTTTCGTACGACCTTATTAGCAGTCGCTTCTTGGGGACCAATTTACGCTCTGCCCCAATACTACCATATTTCGACAAGAAACCATAACGCCATCGGCAAATCAAATTTTGCCAGAAAACAGACGCAAAATTCTCACGCAAACTGTTGGTGAAAAGAAAATTCGTTCTTTTTTATTTCAATGATCTATCAATGCGCACGTGCACGAGATGATGTGCACAAAATTGTTTGTTAGCTCTCGACGTTTTCTCACGTGACTCCTGGATAAGAGGTGTAAGAAAGAAAAATATGAAATAAATAAATAAATATCTTGGGTCTGCTGCTGTTGTTTCAAAAAAATTTATACGCTGTATACACAGGATATATGTATATGTAATATATGTAATGATAGAAAAAGAAATTATGCAAGAACTGTCAGGGTTAAAAAGCTCATTTTGGTTTGTTTTCATTCGTTTTTGGCAAAAAACGTCGTTTGAAGAAATTCAATTATCAAACGCATCATCCAGTTCTTTAAAATTCCATTCTTTCTCACTTGATCAGAAACGAATTCAAACGTACGTACCTATCCCTCATCGATCACGATTTTCGGTCGTTGAATGTTTATACGGGAATCCAATTCCTTTATCAAAAAAATCGCAAACGAAATCCCTCTATTGTAACCGCTCCTCGGATAATATCGCCACGGCTATTTACACCCTTGGCTCAAACTTTTCGCATCGAATGTTTAACAAAATATTTTTTATCAAAAAAAAGATTTTTTCAACTTTCTGATCAACGGCCAATTTATATATCGATCGGATGTTGCACAAACACGTAATCAAATCTTATCTAATATAATCTTTTTTTAATAATACAGTATATTGATTCTCTAGTTCTTTATAGAAAAACCAATCAAAAATAGATTTTTAGCCAAAATAAAACAAAATAAAAAATAGATAAAAACCAATTTTCAAATTGTTTATAATGTGCTAGTTTTACTGTATATTGCTTTATATTTTCTATTTTTATCTAATTATTTTATTATTATTATTATTTTTTTTTTTGTAAATAATTTATGATCAAATTAAATTAAAAGATTAAAAATGCATGAGTACATATTTATTTATTTTTTTTTATTTTTTTTAAAATTGTAATTAGATATTAGAGGCAAAAAACTCTTTATTAACTTTAAAGTTACAAATTTTCAGCTATTACATTAATTATCTCATATATACTATATATTTCTATATAAGAAACAAGACCAATACCTATTTAAAGTGATACATAACCATCCAATTTTCTTTTTATTTTCTTTTATTTTCATTTATGACACCAACATATTCTAGGGATACTGGTTTTTCTTTTGTAAAAAGAAAAGGCAATAAGCCTTAATTAATATAGCTTTAGAAATAGTTTTAACTTATTATTATCTTTATTATTTTTGAATATATACCCTTGTACTCATGTTTTATACAATGTATATATATAATTTGGAAACAATAAAATTAGGCATAAGCCCATCAAAATATATACATATATATTTCTATATATATATAAATTAATAATAACTTATTACAATTGATCAAGTTAAATCTATTTGTACTCTATAAATAAACAAACTTGATTAAATATTAAATGATCAAATATATGATTATTAATAACAAGTCCTAATTAAATAATATTAAACTTACAAATTTTTATATTTTATCAAATTAATTTAACTATATATATATTCAATAAATTTTATAAATTATTAAATTTATTTAGATATTATTTGTTTAAACCTTAAAAAGAAACATAATACAATATAAATCATATATTGTCCTAATCTAGATTTTTCTGAAAATAGATCATGGTGCACTAAAATTTTATACATATGGAGGGTAGCACAAATACTAATTTATTATACATTTATTGATTCAACATCTTATCTAAATTTAGGTGTGGTGGGTATTTAAATTTTTACGATCAAAATTATGTATTTGTCGATTAACCAATGATACGAAGCTATGTTTTTGCATCTACAGTAGAAATCATATATCATTGCTCAATCCAAATCTTCACAACAAAATATTACAAATTAATAAAAAAATTTTATTTTAAATTACATCATTTAAGCTAATTATTAATACATAGTAATGTCTTTATCTATTTCAATTAAAGCTTCTATATGATGTTCCATACTATCAACTAATTTTTTAACAAGTTTATCAGATAAATTGTTCCATGTTTTTTTAATTCTTTTTTAAATTGTATAACTATATTAATTTTTTTTTTTTTTTGACACGTTTATCTTCATTAATCACCAGATATTTTCGATAGGATTTTGATCAGGTGACATCATTGGCCAAGAAAAAACCTTAATTTTTTTGTTCTTCTTCTATTTATTTACCAATTCTGAATGATGTTTCAGATTATTATCTTCTTGCAAGACCCATCATGAATTATTTATACCAAAAAATCTAAAGACAAAGGGTAAAAGACCTTTCTTATAAATGGTAAATATAAATTCAGAATTAAGGTTCTACTGAAAGCAAACCAACTTATCAAAGTTCAATGCTGAAAAACAGCCTCACATATTCATTTTTAAAGGATACTTTACATTGCAAACTACTTTTTTTTTTTCAAGAAATTGTGTCCCTTTTTTTGTAGGTTGGTTTAGATAAAAGGTACTCTTATTCAAAAAAATAACAGTATTCCAGTTAAACTTTTGATACTTTAATGTCCATTCTAATTGTTTTTATTGATGTTTCTTGGTAAGTAGGGATTTAATTAATTTATTGCTATATTTTCTTCCAGCTTCCTTAATATGTGGATTAATAGTGCTCATACTAATCTCAATCTTTCACTTTTTGAGTTTTTGTTGTATTTTATAGCTGATTATATTAGCCTCTCCTTTTGCAAACTCAACAATTATATTATCTTGATTTTTGTTCATTTTATGCCTTTGACCACATTTTGATTTATCGCTTAAATCTGTTATTTCTTTCCATCCTCTGATCCAAAAAACCACAGAACTTCTAGAACAGCCAATCTCTTCAGCTATATCTGTGAGTCCCATCCTTGGTTTCTTAAGATGTATTGTATATTTAAATTTTTAAAGAATTTTTTAACTTTATATTAAAAAATTTTGTTTTATTAAATTTAAATTTATATAATATATTATCAATTCTTTCTACTGATCTTTTGATCACATATAAAAAAGATATTTGCAAGAAGTTTTTATACTTCTTTGCTAATAAAGTTTTAATACTTTCCATAAACCAATTTGAAGTATGACTTCAAGAGTTACCTTTACCCTTTTCACTCAAAAATTTGATTTCTAGTAATCAAGAAAAATCAAATAATACCTTTGATACCAACAGCAAAAAAGTTTTCAAAGGAAGAAGAACTAACTATAAAGTATTTGAAGATTTGTCTAATTTTTAAAGCAAAAAATTTATAGAAATTTTTTATAATAAAAAAGCTTATTTTCTCTCTTTTGACTGTTTTGGTTTTCTTAAAGCTCCCATTTCATAGTTTTCTAGAAAATTTAACCTATCTTAGTTAATCCCTAAATTTTGAATAGTATAAATACTCATCAAAGGTAATTGACTAATATAAAACATATTAGTTTTTGTAATATAAACAAGCTTTTATTGATTATATCCATATCCTTTGATGACATTATTGATGATTGAAAAAAATGTTTCAAAAATACTTATTCTCAAAAAGTTCAAGTTTCTTAATGAAGATTTCTATAATATCAAAAGATCAATAATAGGTAATATAAATTGCAAACTTCTATCTCTTACTTAAGTTTCTCAAATGGTGACAAAGTTTTAATAAAAAAAAGCTAAAGTCTAAATACTTTTCTTGGGATATTACAATTTGATATATATTTAAATAAAAGATTAGTTGGATTGACTTGTTTGATATTGTAGATAGTGAAAAGAAAAATTTTTTTAAGGTTCAAGTAAAGCAAAAAAACTATTCCAATTAGATAGATCTCTTTTAAAAAGTGGTTGTTTTTATTTTTAAACTTTTTTTATAAATCTTGAATTGTTCCCTTCTCTCAATCATTTTTCTTTTTTTAATTTAGTAATTCATTGGTTTTCAGATCAATTAATAGTAATAAACTGTTGGTAATGATTTTGATAAATAAAGGTCATTACCAATTTATCAGGAGAATATAATGTTGTTTTCAAAATCTGACTTAGAATATTTATGTATAAAAATGAATTAGTTACTGTAAAAGTCTGTAAACTATTGTAAATTTTATTTTAATTTCTCAATAAAAATAAGCTATTATAGTATAATTTTGAATTAAAAAAATAAATAAATAAATAAATTTAAATTAATATATTTATTCTACATATGTTTATTTGTTTGTTTATATATTAATATACTCTCTATAATAGTTAATATTTTTTAAAATAACTTGATTTTTTGTATTATTTTTTTTTATTTTTTAT